AACCCGAAACCGCGGTCCTCTACGATGACGGGCTGAGACTTCGAGCCGAACTCCTCGATGAAGCGCTCGGGCGTTATGTCCCGGAACTGGTCGCAGCTGGGTTTAGGGTTTCGGGGCTTCGGGGTTTAGGGTTTACATAGGGGTTTAGGGTTTAGGGGTTTAGGGGTTGAGGGGATTGGGGGTTTAGGGGTTTAGGGTTTAGGGGTTTAGGGGTTTAGGGTTTCAAAGGTTTGCCGGGTCTTCTGAAGTTGTCCTTTTAGCTTTGATGAGGGTTGAGGGATGTTGAGGGCTTAGTAGAGGCAGGGCTTCTGATCCAGAGGCTTCGGGATTCGGGGTTAAGGTGTAGGGCTTCTGCCTTGCGGGTCTATGATTTAGCTACCCTCCTGTCGGTGACCCCTGTGAACTATGAGTCCCTCGTAGTCTTGGAACGACAAACTCCTTTTGCCCAGTCAGCGGGTTCCGGACTTAGGATTTAGGGTTGTGGGGCTTTAGGGCTTACCCATAGGCTCCCAAGTAGTTCCTTTTCGTGGTTTTTATGCAGAATCCTATAAAGTAATCCCAAAAAGGAACTACTTAGGAGCCTATGGATACGGCTGTAGCTGTACTTGTGACCCACCTATCAGTCCCAGAAGCAGCTCTCAAGGCCAGGCAGGCCACCGGGGAAGGGCTCAGCTTGCAGGAATTGCAATCGAACGGTTGAGAGTCTAGGGGCGTACCGAATTGGATAGTTCTTACTTGCTACCCAGATCCCCACATTGGTGAGATAAAAGCTAGTAGCAAGAAGCAAAGGAACCACGCACATCCAGGTGCCTTCACCCGCCGAATAGGAACTGTCTGGTCGTCGTAGACGATCTCCCGGTGCAGGACCTCTTCCTGAATGGGTTACACGAAATTAAGCCATGTGAAAGAGCTCTCCGCAGTTGAAGGGTGTCCGCCGGATTGCGGTATATTGAAAGCTTTTTAGCTGACCGATGTTTTAACGTGTAGAGTAGGGTTTCGGCAAGTGTTTCAGGCGAATTGTGCATGCTCCGCCATGCCAGCCACACCATGCACAGATAAACCCTGACACCTCTAACCCTAAACCCTTGAACCCCGAACCCTAAGCCCGAAACCCTAAACCTTAAGGCACTCAACCCCGAACCCCAAACCCCGAAATCCCCAACTCCTCAATACCTCAACCCTATATTCCTAAATCCCGAATCCCTAAGGCCCTATAGTCCCCTAAACTCTAGAACCCTAAACCCCTATAGATCCCTTTAAGGAACCCTTAAAGGGAGCCCTTTGTAGGAACCCTAAAGCGAGGTCCTTCGAGGCATATCCGAACTTGTCCCACTCGTGTGGCTTGATGTCGGTGCGTTTTCCCTGGCTTTGGGGGCCAAGGGTGTCGAGGTCAGTTTTAGTTCGGGTTTAGGGTTTAGGTTTTAAGGTTGTGGGCCACTTTGAGACTTCAGATATTTGCGAGGCAGGCAGAAGTTCCCTCGCCCTGTTTTTGGGCCACCCTTCTCCTATTCCTACCTTCAGCTACCATGACCTCTCCTCTGGTAGTAAAAGCCCAAGATAGAACTTGTAGGAGCCCTACAGAAGAAAAACAGGTTTTGCTAGGTCAAGGTGCTCCACAACCGCCCTTTTTGTAGGTAAAACCCTATCATAGAATTACTGGCGACTCCTACATTCTCCTATCCAGACTCAGTCTTCGTGTTCCTGATTATGCTTACAGCGTGGTATACCTTGGGGTTCCTTGTTAATAGTTCATGAGAGTAAAATATACCTATACCTAGAGTAGAACATACCTTGGGGTTCCTTGTTGATATTATCATATATCCTCAAACCCTACTCAACTTGTGTGTGTGTGTCTGTGTGTGTGTATGAACGCGCGCCTGTATGTACAGAAGTAAAACGAAAGCTACATGCGACTGCCTGCGATCACATAGTAGCACATATATCTACTACGACGACTACGAGATACTACAGTGCAAAATGATCTACCGCGAGGCGTAGGTTGACGGTCCTAACTCTCAACTCAGCCCAGAAGCTCATGAAGGGCCCTTAGTAATTAGAATGGGGTTTGGGGCTCCTTTATAGTATGTTTATACTAAGAACCCCCGAGGAATCATATTGATAATTATTGAGGCTTCCATATTAGCACATCATCTGGCGGTACTCAACCGGCACGTTTTGACGAGGTCTTTAATTGTGATGTTAACGTCAATGCTCCACCAACAAGTCTGCGTTGCTGACTTCCAGAGAATGGTAGAAGTATATGGGAATGACCAAAGCTCAAAACAGTCAATCAACAAGATTGCCTTGATGGGTCTCTGTTTATAGTGGCAACAGGGCTGCAACCAACTGTCAATAGACTGGCTTTTCTTTGCCTTGATGTGGAGATCATACGGTGAATACTGGAGCTGGCATGTAAGATTAGAGCCAAACCTAGCAACTGAAGCGCTTTAAAGAACCCGGTGCCCAAAAGCACAAGCCCTTAATCCTGAACCCGAAACCCGAAGCCCTAGATCCTTAACCCTGGACCCCAAACCCTAAATCCTCAACCCTAACTCTTCAACCCTACACCTTAGATCTTCAACCCTAATCCCTCATTCCCAGATGGTCCTGCTGCGGATCCCGGCCTTTTTGCACCTCCGCACCTCCCCGGCGGTTCGCCGATGCTGGAACTTCACCTTCCCGCATGCCACAGGTAGGCAACTTAGCGCCTTTGGGTTTGTAGGGATTCTTTAAGGGTGTCTCTGGCGTTATTGGATTTTAGGGTTTCTGCGTCTAGAAGCAAGGGTTATAGGGCTTCTATGAGAAATTGTTGAAAGGCTGTAGAAAAGCCATATGGATTTCAGGTTCAGGACAGGTTCGGCATCTGAATGCTACTGCGTCACAACGGAACCATTTGCCGTGTTGCAGTGCTGCGATCATGTCCAGAGAGCTTCCAAGGGTCCACGCGGGGTTACAGGTTTGGGGTAGCAAGGATCAAACCAGGGCTTTGTACTGGTGATCATGACAGCCAGTCGGCTGTAAAGCCCTTAGACATCACATGTTCAGTAACCGCTTGGGCACTTGGATTTGTAGTACCGCGGAAACAACACATGCTTCCAAACGAGCACTCAGTCTCATGCCTAAACCTCCACACCGAAAACCCTACACCCAATCATGGTCATCCCAGCCCTCCCCGGGCACCTCCTGAGGAATACGGCGTTGCGCGGCATCGGAGGATGGGGAAGGAGACCCACTGCCGGCCTCCAGCCGCTTGATTTTAGGAGCCTTGATAATTCGAACGCCAAAATACGTTAATTATACTCTGAAACAAAGGATTATGCTGGACAACCACTGCTAATTATTCCGAGCCCTATAGTACAGCAGCTAACACTGTCACTATCGGGCGTCGGGATACCCCTTCACTTCAGGATTCAGAATTTTCTGGATTTGTCTAGCTCCGTGTGCCATGTTCCTTGTCATCTTTCTGGTTGGCTAGTTTAGAAGGTCAGGCTTAGGGGTGTTTTACCTCCTGTCTCAACTGCTTTCATGGAGCTTCAGATTCATATCGAAAGTCGTGGAAGTTGCAATGGTAACTGCTACATTGCTAAGATCGTAACATCAGCATCGGTATTGGCGATGCACGGAGCATCCAGCTGACAACTTGAGTGCTTCAATACGAGTGCAGCTTATGAAACATCCAGATTGCTAGCCGTCAGCCGTGTGCAGGAGTCTTCTTGTGATCATGATCATGGACATGACCAGGGCACGCTACAATGACGTTAGTGTACAGAAAGTAGATACATGTGTCTTTGCTTGATGTCTCTTCCTGGCAACCCTGCCAGGACCAGTTTTTATCCCTGCTTGCAGTTGCCCTTGTTTGCAGGTCGGCCTGGGCCACTGTCCGCTGCCGTTGCATGTGTTGCTGCTGGGCTGCTGGTTCTTTTGATGCTCGTACTCTGTGGCGGATTTTTCATCAAACAGACACAAAAAAGACGCCACCCGGACACCACCTTCACCACCTTCACCACCTTCACCACCTTCACCACCACCACCCCCCACCACCCCCCACCAACCCCACCACCGCCACCAGCACCAGCACCGGAAACGGCACCCTTGCTGAAATGCAGCCCACGATGCTCTCTGTGGAGAACTGCTCGGTGCAGCTGTCGACACACTGCCTCGCGGCACAGGAGCGACCAAATGCACATAGCCACGGTTTAGGCATCGCGCTTTGGGGTTCAAAAGTTTAGGGTTACTAACGCAGAGATAAAAATAAAAAAAAGAAAAACAACAACCCCATTGCCCAACAGGCCTCCTCAACCCTCAATTCCACACCCCTGCAGGCCCAAACCTTCAACCCCCGGGCTCTCCAAGCGGACTCCGCAACCTTCAGACTTGCGATGGGAGATGCTGGGAGCAATGGATAGAAGTAGCACACGTGTCTCACCCAGTGAGCAAGTAAATCAGTTGGAGCCATGCGTCACCCATTTTCCAGTCGCACGCGCGTCGCTCTGAGCAAGCACACGGTGATCCCTACTTCGGTGAGGGTTGACAGCTCGAGAAATTCAAGGTTAAAGGCTTATGGTTTAATTAGGGATGTCAAAGGCCTAGGCTCCAAGGCTCTCTGGGTAGCAGTGTCCAAAAGATTGGGAATGTAGCAGCAGACCGCATCGGGCGTCACTTACAAACCGATCTTGGAGTGAATGCTTGACCAAGCGAGAAAAATGGGTCTATGGTTCTAATTGTTTTACGACGACGATTACAAGCAGATTGATCTTGGGGAACAACAACAAGAGGAAGTGGCGGATCACCAGCGACTACCACGCTTTGCATCCCAAGTCGTGAAAGGATCCGATGGAATGCAAGATTGGAATTTCCACTCCTAGAACATCAGGATCGTGTTCGGGTTCACATCCTGAAAGAAACGCTCGACTTCCCTATATATCGTTCTTTCGAGCTTTGGGTTTAGGATGCGTTTCCAGGCACTAAATCCCGATTTCATGCTCCGAATCTGCTTTCTCTCAGTGGTGCTTTTTCTTCTTGCGCTTCTTGCTCCTGGCTTTCTTAGGGGTTTAGGGTTTAGGGGTTTAGGGGTATAGGGCTCTATAGGGGTTAAGGGTTTAGGGCTATTTTGGAGCCGAGCAGGGTTAGGGGTTGAAGGGTTTAAGAGTTCAGGCTTGAAAGCCTATAGAACAAACACTGTAGGGAACCCTAGAGGTTCCTGCAAGAACAACTGCTTGGAGGGTCGGGGGACTTTGCAAGTAGCTGTTTTATAGACTTATAAGTCTCATAATTCCAACTAGGGCCCCTCTTAGGGCATTTATAACTCTACTTATGACCTACTTACTAGGTCCCCCGACCCTCCAAGTAGATCCCTAGAAAACCCGGCGCGAAAGAACCCAAGCATGTAGGTCCTGTCGGAGGACTCCGAATCCTTGGACTTTCGCTTGCCCGACTTTTTGGCCTCATGCCGGCCTGCGCACAAAGAAACCTATGGTAGGGTTTGGGGTTTTGGGGTTTAGGGTTCAGGGCCAAGTTTAGGGTTTAGGGTTTGGGGATTTGGGGTTTAGGTTTCGGGTTTTAAGTGTTTCAGGCTTCACGGGGAAAGATGTAAGGCTCATAGGGTTAAGAGTTTCAGGGCTCGCTTTCTTAGTCGAGAGGCACTCGTGGCATCGGGGTTTATCGGGTTTAGGGATCGACTTGAATAGTTGTCGGAATATCCCTGTTTCGGAAGTCGAAGCCTGCAGCCCTCCATCCTAACACCTTCCTTCGGCTTCGCATCTAGACTTTACCTTAACCCCCCAACTAACCTACCCTTTTTTTGTATATGGGCTTTTGGCCAGGAAACGATATTCAGGAACCCGAAAAGGTAGGTTTCTTGGGGTCCAGGTAGCACACTGGGAAAGCTTCGCATCCGGATTCAGGGTTCCCCTAAAGCTCAATGTGCTCATATAGTGTGTACTTTGGCCCTAAAGTCTCTATCTATCTGTCTGTCTATCTATCTGTCTATCTATCTATCTATCTATCTGTATCTATATATATATATATATTTATATATAGATGTATGTATGTATATATATATATATATAGATATGCATATGGACCACTATAGTGCCAAATTGCAGACTAGTGTGTGTGTACTCATGCTCCAGGCTTTGATTTCTGTCGGCGTCAAGGTGGCCTAGCATCAATCCTCAACCCTTACAGGATGACGGGGACCTTTCCCTGTTGGGGCGATAATTAAAAATCATCATTCTTGATCCTTATTCGTAGGGTTTAGGGTTTGGGGCTTAGGTTTTAAATCCTTAGTAGAGCTTTACAATAACGATTGTGTACAATTGTATCCAACAAGGACCCAGGATTTCAGTGCTGTCATGAACACCACCGGAGCCCTTGTAAAACCCACCGGAGAGTCCATCAGAACTTTGATTTTGGAGACCAAATGACCCTTATAAGTAGGGGCCCTAATGACCGTTATAAGTAGGGGCCCTATGCCCTTATACTATGAATCCCTATATATGGTATATGAACCTGAAACCCTTTTAGGGTTCATTTCGTCTTTAAGGGACAGGAGCCCTTTCAAGGACTCCGCCGCCTGAGCTCGAAGAGCTCCGGGAGTCTTTTCGGGAGCGCTTCTTCCTGGCTTCGTTGCGGCTTCAAAAGGTGCGCTCTTTCGGATACTTAGCTATGGGGCTTGCGGGGTTTATGGCAGTTAGCTTGCAAGGCGTTTCTGGGTTCAGGTTGACAAGTCTAGAGCTGTAATTTATCTTTACGACATCTTGCTGAGGATTGGGTATTTCTTGATTTGTCGCGCACGGCACCTGTGTGCCATCGATCTGCCACCCTAAACCCTAAGCCCCAAGCCCTAAACCCTAAACCCTAAGCCCTAAACCCCGAAACTCGGGGAGGCCTCCTCTTTCGACTTCCAGAAGAGCCTGGGTCCATGAAGAAACAGAGAGGCCGGAAGAGTCAGAAGAGGGTCTTCGAAGGAGGGCCTAATAAGGAACACATGTCCGTTTCCGAGGGGATAAGCAGTATACTTCGGCCTAACCCACGCACGGATATCTGTAGGGTCTCTAAGAGGAGATATTCTTACGAAGCAATCAAGCCTTCATATTGCCATGGCTGCCAGGCTCGGGGGCTCCGGCTGGGTTTCGGGGTGCGGGATTGCTTTAGGGTTTACAGTTCGAAAACCACACCAAGAAACTGCTAAAAAACTGGGCTACATACATAAAAAAAAGTGCAGTGCTAGAGCCTCTTGACAAGCTTGCAATATCCAGAAAACCCCAAAGCCTTTGGCTCAGACAGTCTGTCCTTACATTGCAGCAACGAGCATACTCAGGTTTATGGGAGAAACCTGTGCAAACAAGGCCTTCGGTGACTGGGGAGAGCCATACTGGAGGACTTACCTGAACTTATACAGAGGTCGACAAACAACTAGAAACAATATCTGGGGTTTAGGGTTTAGTGCTTCTCCTTTCTGCCCGTCTATATTCTACAACATGCAAAGCACTCTTCGAAAAGCTTAAGGCGCCTATAGTACGTACAACGTGTATGTTGTTACCCCACGCCCTGCCTGAATAGTTAAGGCCCTGCATTAAAGAAGACCAACTGGTCGACCCTGCAGCCTTGAACCCACACATTCTGGCAACAAGGCGTCAGTCGATGTAGAATGTAGACGCTGGCATGTAATAATTTTGGGGCCTGAGTAATTTGAATAGGGTTTTGGGGCCCATTACACTATGAATTTCATAGGAACCCCCAACATAGTATTGGTAATTAATTATATTTAGGCCCCTATATTGCCCTGCTATCAAGACACAACCGAAAGGCAACCCAGAGCTGGAGGATGTGAGGTTCCGGCTCGAGTGCCGTCTGGAAGGCGAGGAGGACTGAGCCAAACAGTTCTTGAGGCAGAGGGGTTCTATCAGGGGCTCTTTTCAGGCTGCTATAAAGGGATTCCCTTACCGGGCTTCTGTAAGGGATGCCCTGAAGGAGAATTGGATCGGATTCCTGTTACCGTCTCTATTCGGTTTCTGCTTCTACAGGGCACCACGACGGTGTACCCTTGCCAACATCTTCAGGATCACAGGTTTCAGGGGCTGCTTTTGGTGGTTTCAAGGGCTTACACGGTTGAGTCTGGGTTGCTACGGTTTAGCCGAGCAGGGTTAGGATCTAGGGCTACTTTTGGGGGGGATGATAGACTACGGGTTGATGATATACATCCTGCATTACCTTAAGCACCCTAAGCTATGGGAATTATGGCATATTCCTTATTATGGGTCATGCAGGATTCATATCATCAGCCGTAGAACATTCAACCGAAGAAGTTAGGAAGCTTTCTGGGAGCGTCGTTGGGACTGGGGCTTATAGGAACCTGTTTCTAAGGCGGAAGCTTCGTGGCAACCATCAGCAATGGACCCGTATAGGTGTTGCTCTGCTTTGGGCTTGGGATTCAGAGATTCGGAGTTGCCTCCCATATCACCGCCGGTGGCGAGGGTCCAGCTCCACTACTCGCCTCGAAGCCCTCGAACCTTGAACAACCCATGGAGAGCCCATGCTTAAAACACTAAACCCTAAACCCTGAACCCCCAAACCCGAAACCCTAAACCCTGAAGCCTAAACGCTAAACCCTCCTCAACGCCCGATAAAGCTTCGCTGGAAAGATCCCTGCCTCTCGCTTCTTCTTGCTCTTGGCTTTTGTCGCCTCCAGGCTGTCGCAGACGTTCTCTGCCCGTAGGCTACTAAGTAGTTCCTTTTTGGGATTTACCTTATAGGATTCTAAATATAGACCACAAAAAGGAACTACTTAGGAGCCTGTGGGTAGATGAGTCTGTGTAACTTCGAGATCCATGTATACTGTCTGTCATCCCTTAAGAAAGCCGTTCAGGCCCGAACACTCCATGACATAATTAAGAGGCTTGGAAGGTCGGGGGACTTCGTAAGTAGCTGTTTTATAGACTTATAACTTATAAGTGTCATAGCCCCAATTAGGGCCCCTTTTAGGGCATCTATTGCTCTACTTCTTACCTACTTACTAAGTCCCCCGACCCTCCAAGTGGGGTATCTGGGATTCCAGACTTCGGGGGCTCAGAGGTTCGGAGAGAAGGGTCGTTGCTTTGGAGGCCATGGGTCGCTCCAGAGGATCTGAACCTGGACAAAATATTCATATATAGCATATAAATATATATATATATATACATATATATATATATACATATACATATACTATTGTAAGAAAGAACCTCCCCCTCTCCCCCGAAAAATAACATAGGGAATTGTTTAAGGACCCTATATTATACCCTTAGTTTCGAGCTTTGCGGCCTCTGTGACTCTGGCCTGCTTACGCAGTTGTACACGGGGTTGCTCATTGAATTCATTCGTTTTGTTGTTTGTTTTTCACGATTCCCTGCAGCCTTTGTAGAGCTGGAGATGGCTTCGTGGATGTTGTATGCAATGTAGCCGCAGTTACAGTATACACGCTTAATTGCGGCTGTACTTCTGTGCATCATGAGCCGCCTTGCGACTGGCCATGAAACTTCAAGCAGCTTGTGCTGTTGGCATTGCTGGCTTCATAGCCTGAGTCTGCACTCTGAGCCCTGCATCGTATCCCGAATTACTACACCCTTAACACTACAAAACTAAACTAAGAGTCTTACTCATCTAGGGACCGTAGTATTCACCCTCAACCCATATCAACCCCGAAGAACAATCTTAAAGCACGCCCACCTGCTTTTCCTTGGCCTTCGGGGCGCTACGGCTGCGACTGGCCAGGCCTTTCCAGCTGAATGGCTCCGGTGTGCGGTCCATCGCCCTCTTCCTTCTAAGCACCATCATGGGAATCGTCATCTTCACCACCGTCAGCATCCTGGTCTTGCCTGTAAGAAACAGGCAAACGAAAAAGCTTATTGCTGTGAAATCAGGCCTTGTTTAGGAGTTCAGGATAGCATTTTTGGTAACTAAGTCTCGGCCCCCGAAGAAGCTGCAAGCTGCACTGATGCGCGCCTGTCGTCACGGCAGGGGCAGGAGTTGCCGCAGGCGCCTCGATGCAAACTCTTTTCGTATGCAGCCTAACAGAGGAACAGTGCAATCATTCCAGGTTCCTCCGTTCTTCCTAGCTAAGACCACTTTGTCTGGTCGCCGAGCAGATCCAAAGATAGCATTTGGGACGTTTATATATTGCACAAGGCCCAGACATTTCCTTAGCCCCTAACTGTGCCCTAAACCTAAACTCAAACGACGCATCTGGCGGCGAGTACATCAGACATCGCCTGTTCATAAGCGTGCACGAGCACGTGAAAGCCGAAGTCGAAGATCTTCGCGGGGGGAGCCCGAAAACCCTGAACCTTAACTTACCAGAGCCCTATAGAATCCCATGCAAACCTTTCTCAAAACGCGAACGAAGCCCTACGAGATCCATCAACAACCCTTACAAGATCCCTACAAATCATGAGAACCCACCTTAGAAGTTCCACACAGGTCACTATAGAAGATCCCCATGCATCCCGTTAAATCCTTATCGGAAAAAGCTGACTCGACCCAGGGCCTTGGCTTCCTCCTCTGCCGGAGCTTCGACCTAGCAAGTTCAGAGCCCTAAACCCCTTAAACCCCTAAATCCCTAAATCCGCTACACCCTAAACTCCTAAACCAAACCCCTGAACCCCTAAATCCCTAACCTCTAAACTCCAAGGATCCTCCAAGAATGATTGTTGGGTTCCCTCGGAAGCTGGGTAGTTCTCTAAATTAGGGTCCCTGATAAGATCCTGTTTGTGAGGGTGCTGTCAAGGTACCCAGAAGGGGACCCTAACTTAGAGAACTGCCTAGCTTCCGGGCTTGGGGTTTGGAGTCTTCGAACTACTGCAGGGGCCTTCACAATTAGGATAGGGTTTCGGTATATATACTACTACTCAGCCCCCAAAGTAGTATAGGTAACTATTGTTTTAAGCCCCCTAGATTGCCTGAAGCCCTAGACTTTTTCGGATTTTCGGATGTGGGGTTTAGGGTCCCGTTCTGGTTTCAAATCCGAGTGCTGGATCTAGAATCCTAGGGTAGGCAGTGGGGAGGGTTGGTTTGAAGTTTCGGAGTTTTGGGTTTAGGTGGTGCTGTCTTTTTTGAGTGAAGCGGCTTGGCAGCCCCAACAGGGTTAACACTGGTTCCCCAGTGTTCACAAGTGCCATCAGAACCAAGAAGCCATCAAGGTACTGCTGGACCCTTCCTTGTTGCAGAAAGGGTACCGTTTCTCCTGTAATAATCAGTTATGACAAGATGGAGAGCCAAACGCAAGAAAAGGGCAAACCCTAAACCCTTAACCCTAAACCCTCTAACCCCTGTAAACCCTAAACCTCAAGGAGTATTACTGCAGGTAAATGGTGTTTAGGATTCATGGATCTGGGTGGAGCTGAAGCCTCGAAGCATAAAAGCTGTAGGATGTGGAATGGAGGATTCGAGTAAAGTTACCCTTGGGAAAGGAGCTAGCGACTATAGCGACCTTGGTAACAAGAAAGTTTCCGCTTGAAGGGGGATATGATATATAAGCGTATACAAACACACATACTACATATGCGATAATTATACTTAATCCACCTCTCAAGGCTCGAACTTCCAATCAGCGACGCGCAAAGCCTAGAGGCCTAGAGTCTACCCATAGGCCCCAAAGTAGTTCCCTTTTGGGGATTACCCTGTAGGATCCTATAATAAGCCACCAAAAAGGAACTATAATGGAGCCTCTGGGTACATCCAACACCCAAAGAACACGGAGCTCACACGATTTGCCAGTTTGGCACCTCGCCGCTGGGCTCCGCCGCGGCAGCCTCCTCCTGGAAAGATATGGTTTACGGTTTAGGGTTTAGGGTTTAGGGAACACCGTGGCTACGATGAGCAAATTAAGGCTCACTATAGAAATATTAGCACAGAGAAAGCCTGAATCATACCAATGTTACTGAGTACCTTTCTGCTTCCATCCACTGCTGCAAGTTGCAATCGACACTGTGAGTATTACAAGGTTACTGACACTTTGTCGAAATTTGCCATTGTTCTGTCTTGATTACTTTCCTCTTAGCGGCTGTACTTGCTTGATGGCTTTGCATAACCTTTACCACCTGTAGTCAACACACAACCTAGGGGTATCGGCAAGTCAACCCTAAGCTGTGGAGACATTGCATCATTGTCAATGGTAAACTATCCCCTCTAACCAGTCGCCGAATCGGCTGTATTCGAAGCCTACAAGCGCCGCACAACACCAATTGAATCAAGACGCCAGCATCCCATCTAACACTTGCGCCCCAAGGGGGGGTGACGAAAGCTCAGAAACCGGGGACAAGCTGTGCGGGGGCGGAGCAAGACGGAGATGGGCGATACTTCTTTCTCACTTGCCGCTGCACCCCCCCGCCCCAGCACCAGGCATCATAAGCATCATCGGGGTCCCGTTTCTCCAAAAAGACGCAGCCCCGAAAGGAGCGCCCCCAAAACCCGTCATGGCTGGCTCGAAAACGGAGCGCATTTTGGGCCACTTTCTCTGGTCCTCTCCCTTCACCTCCGTATAGCTGATCAGCAAAGCTGGGTCTCAAACGAAAGCTCTTCCCTCCACGGAGGGAGCTTTCGTGATAAGACAGCAGAGGCTTGCATAATTAGCGTGGACGTGTTTAAAGTTTAGGGTGACCAAACGGATGACAAAGGGAGCGGTTTGTCTACACGGGATGCATGGAAACCCAGCGACACCCTCCCCCGGGACAAATGAACAGACAGACAAAGCCTATATTGAAGGCGCACAGCTAAAAGTTTAGGAAGCGATCTTCAACACCTCCCATTTCGAATCCAAGCTGTCCGATGTCGACAAAATCATCCTCACACCAAACACCCCAACACCTTGAGCAAACCCAATGCCCAGCACACCCATGCCTTACCTTCTGCGAATACTTCCCATCAAACCTCAGGGAGGTGAAACCTATACAACCTGGACTGGACAAAACTCTGGACGGTCTAGGAGCATACACCCTAAATAAACCCTAGCCTAAGGTTTGCGGGTGTTCTGAACCCGAAGCATCCCTACACCCTAGATCGCCCCTTCCCGCCCGAGCTGGCCTGGGCGCCATCATCTCCTGTCTGAATGGAACGTAGGGGCCGTAGAGCCGTAGTAAGGGCTACGGGGGGAGAAATCAGAGTATGCTTCAACCTACTTCGGGTATAGGTAGACCAACCTCCGCTTTAGTCATCAGAGCTTCTGGAATTGTGGTGCCAAGTTTCTGGGTTCAGAGTCAGCGCACTTATTAGTGAGCTCACATTGGCCACTTGCACGCAGAACGTAAAGTGTTCTCATGCACAACACGCCTAAACCAAAACCTCACCCTATGCTCTGAACTCGCCTTGAGGTGGAAAACTCAGACCAATGCCAGTCTCCTGAAAGTCAAGGCCAGACAACTCTGAACTTTTCAGCCTTTCACTCTTGATCCTCCGTGCTGCGGCCGAGTGGCCGTTTTCTCCCTGCTCGCCACGCTCACCGCGTTCCTGTGGAGAGAAACAGCCAACCCTAAACCCCAAACCCCTGAACCCTAAACCCCTAAGCCCTAAACCCCTAAAAGCATACAACTCACCAGTGGCATCTGCAGGGTTGAGCACAGGGCCTCCAGGTCTTTATTTTTTGCTTTTGGGCCGTAGGATTCATGTTTCGTGGCCTTGAGGCTTCTGTTGCTTAGAAAAAGGCTTCTATCACCGGCAGAAAGCCACAGTGAAACAGTGGAAAGGCATCGAAGCCGCCGTGCTCTGCTTCCTTGCCCAACTCACTGCAAAATACTGATAACTTCAGAAACAGGGTTTCTAAGGGGGGTATCTTTGAGAACCTTACTTAAACCGCCGCAGAACTCGCAAGACATAGCTAAGGCAAGCGCAGACTGCTTCTCGCGGACGAAGGCCCGACACCTGATTCGGCGAGAGATGAAGACTTCTGGAGGCCTGAGGTAAAACTATCGGACTGTGAGGTCTCTTCGAGGATCAGGGGCTGAGGCAGCGCAGGCTCCGAAATCGCGTCTCGATGCTAATCTGGGCTGTTCAACTGTTGCCCACAAAACAAGGACACACACACACACAGAGACGCCCGAACAAAAATCAAAAGAAGCCCTGTAACTCTCCTGGTCGTGTACCCAATGCCCAACAGCCACGATCTAAAGCGAATGGTCCAACACCGTAAGCCTTTCGCCAAAAATATTCTGCACAGAAAACAGCGGATGCACGGTGCCGCAGGGCGTGACTTCCCTTCAGATTGCAATACGTGCCTCTGTTTTAATAAAGAACATAGCCAAGAAGAAAGCGACCGAATGTCCTCATGACAATGCACCGAACCCAAACCCGTAACGTGGATGCCTCGCCATCATGTCTTCGATGGCATTGGCAGCCTGCTCCTGCTTGCCTCAGTGGTCCAGAAAACCATGGACGCTAAACCTTCGAGCCATAAATCTAAGCCCTGAAGCTACCAAAACAGCAACGAAACCTTCAGCCCTGTCGTCGCAATGTCTCCACGTAGTACTAGTACTGTTGTTAGTATCGTTGGTCCTATTATTACAGTTATCTTTGTTATTGTTAGTAGTACTTGAATTTCTTTCTATTATTGCTATTCTTATCGATTCTGTTGTTATTGTAAAAAATGTAAACTAGATCTTGCAGCATAGACCCCCCTAGGCCGGAGTCTCACCCTGAGCTTCTTTCTCGCGCTGTTGCCCTCGCTCCCAAGCTCGACTTCCTTTCATGTAAAACCATAAGCCTTTCATGTCAAAGGGTCTTGTGCCCAGTTCTGTGACATTGCCCTAAGCGCTGCTTCCCCCTTGTGGCCTAGCGTACTAGCGTGGGGGCCTTAATAATAATCAGACTTGGGGTTTTGGGGTATATTATGCTGTATACAGTTATAACTATATAAGGAGCCCTCAGGAAAAAAACATATTGACAACTAAATTTAGGCCCCTATACTGTGCATGATTCCCAGGGGTAGCGTCTGGTCAGAAGGAGTTCCAATGCAGGGTTTGATGTGGCCGCACTTCGACGGGAATCCTCAGCCGCAGAAGCTAAACCTTAAAACTGAAGCTCGGGCTTCGGCACATGGCTGAGGGCTTAAGGCACACGGCTTTGGGTTTGCATGGGGGGGGGGTGCCTGCATCTGTGGTCATGCAATTGAAACCAGAAACAGAGAGGCCTGGAAAATAGTGCAAACACGGGACAACTACAGCACCAACACATGGACGATACATCACCTAATGCGCAGAGTCATGGTGATCTGGATAATCCTGCGGACCATCTTCGTCAGAGACACCCATGTTGCTGACGTTTTCAACAGGGTGATTTACAGAGCTACTCTTCGGTGAGTCTTGGTATCCTGAACTTCGATCAACACATCTTCTTAGGCTTTCGCTGTCTTCATCCGGGGCATCCTTCTGCACGCCCGCGAAAGCAGTCTTCGCATACTTCCTGGCCCAAAAGAACGCCAGCATTTAACATAACCACTACCACCGCTGCTGCCATGACTGCCACTCCTACTGCTACCTCTATTCTTGCTACTACCACTAATTACTGCTACCGCTTTCATTACCATTACCACTTCTATTCTACGACTACGACTACGACTACCACCACAACTACCACTACGACTACGGCTACTGCCGCGACGACTGCATAGGTCGTTGCCATCATTACTGTTTAGTGTTGGTGCTTCTGCGCATCAGCACAACATGACCAGAGTCTGCCAAACACGTAGACTGGCCTGCCACGGTCTGATCTCTTGCCAACTTCTCTAAAACCCCTCATCATCGCCAAGTCCGGAAAATTTCCCCACCCTGCTCACATGCCGGAGTGGCTTTGCCAGGGCACAGTCCTCGCGATGGTTCCAAAGAAGGCTTGGAGGTTGCGAAAAAGGTTTTGGCGTATCTCATGGATATAGGAACTACAGTGACTACAAGCGGATAGTACTACGAATTGTTCAATCACATGCGATCTTGTAGCACTGATTGGGCACTTGTGCTGGTAGCGTGTTACAACCGTCGACACTTCGCTGCCCAAAAAAACGTGTGAACCGCGGCCAATTATCAGAAGTCTTAAACCCGACCTCTAGCCAGAAACAGCTGCGATACTCGAGTCTCGAAACCCTATAAACCTAAACCCTAAACTTCAAAACCGAAACCCTTAGCCCTGAAACCAGTAAACCCGTAAACCTTAAACCCTACAGGGCATGAGCCCAGCAATCTGATTCCTTCTCCAAGAACCGCCGCTGCTTCGACGAGAAGACGTGGAGATTGGCGTGCAGGGCCCGGTACATTTTGTTGCCGGTCTGGACGACTCGATAGTTCTGGCTTTAGGTTTGGGGATTAAGTGTTTAGGGGCGTATAAGGTTTAGCCCTAAGCCCTAAAAGGGTTTGGCGTTTAGGCCACTGAGTTTAGGATTTGGGGCCTAGATTTATTTCGAAGCGGGCTGCTTCTTGGAATGATGGGTCCCTTTTGGGCGGGTCGTTTCATCACGGATGCTTTTACTTGGTCTGTTCTGGAAGGGTTCTAATTCTTCTAATACTCAAAGAATCCCACAAAGCCCTAGGGGACCTTTAGTCTTCTAGATTTTCTTAAACTCCATAGTAGCTAAAAAACTCCGCAATTATTGCAGGAATCGGGGGAGCGTATGTTTACCAGGTACAACACCTCATGCAGTACGTGATGAGAGGACACACCAGTCAACCGTCATGGTAGTTTGGGCTTCGCGGCACAAGAGTAGTCAAGGGAAGCTGACTAAGCTCGGCTGTGCTTGCTTAGTGCCCATTAAACGCCATCTGAAAAGCCAAGCTCCAAACCACTCCTTTGTCTTTGCTTTGGTTTACAGACCGATTGTGTTGACTGGTTGTTTGCGTTCAGCTTGTCGGGGCCGTCAAAGCCACAGCACAGGAGCAGATCCACGCCTAGACCGCGGCCTTGATTTGCAACCAAACATGCAAGGCATGCCGAAACCCTAATAATCCGTTTAGCGGCTTAGGGTTTATAGCTTTGGGTTAAACCCCATATAGACCACAAGCTCCCAAAACCCTATAAGCCCTAAACCAGTTGTCAGGCGCGGCTGGCAGGTTGATTGAAATTCAGACGCACACGGCTTTGATTTTGGTCTAGGTGCTTCATTTAGAGGATTCCTGAAAGGATTGAGGGTTGCTGCAAAAGCGATAACAGTGTCCATTTTCATGCTATGCCTATTCTAACTGGAGCCCCTAAGACAATCAACACTGGTTCAGGGTGCATATGGGGAATGTCATGGTTAAGACCCAAAGACCAGATCGACGGCACTCATAAACTTCTATGGCACTCGCATAGCAATCCTTCTAGTGGCCGTTATAGACATTGGAAAAAAAGTATCCTTGATCATGCTCCGGGTTTAGGGTTTCAGTGATCAAGGTTAAGGGCAAGAAGGGCTTAGAGATTAAGAGGTTTGAGTTTAGGGTCATATCTTGGAGACTAAAACCCAAATCATCTACTCAGCATATTGGCGCCTGTCGAGAGCCAGAAGGACCCTGCATGCAATTTTCAACCCTAAACCCTATACAGCCTCACAGTGATACAGCCGGCGGAAGTTTCCACAAGCCCACAACCCCAATATGCCAAGCTCCACTACCCAAATCCCACATTGACAACACTGACCGAACCCATGACAGCGACATCAGGCGGGGCGTCGCGAGATGCCGCCTCGCCGGTCCGTGTCGAGCCGCGCACGCCAGTGCATGGACACAACAAGTTTAGCCAAGGTTGCGCCAAAATCCGCAGCAGGATGGAGCGACCGCAGCGGGGTGTGGCGATCAGGAGCGACAGTCAACACAAAACCGGTGTCAGTGTACAAGGCCTTGGAACGAAAGATACGCTCCTCTATCATGCGACGCTGTACCTCAATGTTAGGTGAGAGGTTGTCGATGGTATGGATGAGCGTGCGGGCAGCATGGACCATGACAACACCTGCACTGGCATGATCTCACCAATGGCGGCATGCGGGCCGAGCTACCCAGAAATGAGTGACTCTGAAGCGGAGTGAAAGGCATCGAAGGCAACACCCTGATTGATGTCGGCAATCGCCTGATGGAAAAGGGACCACCAGCGACTTCCTTGAAATACAAACGACTGATTGCAGTAGCAGGATGATAAGCAGCAGCCATATCGACAGGTTGGTGAAAAGTGATACTACGCAATTCTCACACCCACAGGCCGGAAGACCACAAGCAACAGCTTGAGCGAAACTGGCCACGGTACCTGCTTTAGCGGGTGTGAGTTGGACCGCCTCACAAGCCAAGCTTTTCGACTAAGGCCTGTGAAGCGCTTGCGTAGGCAGCGGTCTGGCTGACTGCGACGACACCAGTAGCAAGAATACCAGGCTTGGGGAACCCGACACAGGCTTGCCAACCGTTACTGACTTGCTTGTACTAAGAAAAGGTGTCGGTGGCGCGGTAGTGACGCTGCAGCTTGTCGATGTTGCTCGACCTAGCCCTGTATAGCGTCCCGAGCCCGAACTGTTACTGCCAAAAGTCTTTGTGGAGCGCTCGCCTCGGACCATACTGTACCCAGTGATGGCATGGTAGTGATTTGCGACGGGCGTTACGTCCTTAGCAGCTCTCCTCAGGACTTTCGCGAGTCACAGCAATGGCTCCATCACCTTCTTGTCTCAAGCCTGTGGCTTGAGCCAAAATGGCTACCCAAATAGTTGGGATCTGCAGCAAAGCCCACTGTATCAGGTCCTAAACCTGAACCCTAATTGCAGTTCCTTTTTTTGCTTTAACCAATTCTATATTAAGGATCCTCAGAGGTAACCCCAAAAAGGAACTACAATGGAGACTATAGGTAAACCCTTAAAGCCTCCGACAACGCCCAGCCTTCTCAGTCAAGTCTTCTATGAAGCGGTTGTGCGCCACCACGCTATAGAGGCTCTGCGCATCCATTCGCCCGTCGGATGCCTGACAGCTTATCGGATTCAACGTGATTTGATTCAGGTTCACAAAACTGTTTGATTTCGGATTTAAAGCCCTAATCGGTTTAAAAAGTGTTGGAGCTTCATGGGTCTGGGCCTGGGGGCTTGTTTAGCGTGCTGTACTGCCAGATCTACAGCGTTTAGGGGTTTGATCTCTTGGCGAGATGTCCAAGTTTCAAAACCTCAATATCCCGACATCCGAAAGTATTGACAAACCTTCACCCTCCACTGCAACTATTACCAGTACCACTGAACTTCACTGAACCCTGAAACGTCAACTAAAATCCTACATCTCGGACCCGGCACACCCTTCAACTCACATGTACAACCCCACACCGAACAAATCCTACACGGAGACCACATGAAACCCTTCAAACATCGAAAGCCAAGACCCCACGAAACACAAACCCACACGACAACAGCCATACATGCGAAGACCCTTCAAGTCTCTGCGTTGGCCCTGTAAGGCACATGCAGAAACCGTCCAGAACCCCTTGAACAACACCCAAACCACTGAGCCACCCTAAACCCGGAACTCTAAACCCTCAGCCCACTCTAAACCCTTAAACGCTAGGAAACTTTGTGAACCCCGATGACCGGCCTGGATCAAGGCCTTGGCGAGCCACTTCGACCGGCCGTCCGCCCGCTTTTGGAGGACCTAGAGCTGGGAATGGGGTTGAGGGTTTAGGGCTTATAGGGTTTATAGGGTTTAGGGCTTATAGGGTTTAGGGTTTATAGGGTTTAGGGTTTAGGGTTTAGGGTTTGATAGAGCGAATGGAAGGGCCTGAATCCTTTAGGGGTTCCTTCAAAGGGATCTAGAAGGATTACTGTAAGGGTCCCTTTAAAGGGATCTATCAGGGTTGCTTAAAGGGACTGCGGGAGACATAACTTTGTCTTTACATACTAACCCTTACTAAGCAATCTCCGTGCGGGAACGAATGTCCAAGAAACCCCGACAGAACCCAAGGAGCTCCTGCTACACCGGAAACACAGAACCAAACCTCCCGAAACCCTAAACCCTAAACCCTAAAACCCTAAACCCTAAACCTCTAAACCCTAAACCCCTAAACCCCCAAAACCCCAAAAACCTAAACCCCTGAACCCCTAAACCCTAGACCCGAAACACCTAAAACACTAAACCTCTAAACCCCTAAACCGCTAAACCCCTCAACCCTAAACCCTAAACCCCTCAACCGAAAACCCTAAACCCCTAAACCCCAAACCCCGAAACCCTAAAACCCTAAACCCGGCTCATTCGCCTGCTCAAGCTCGACCGTGGCCGCTGGAGCCTGGAATCAGGCAACGATGCGGGGTAGAGGTTGGCTTTAAGGTTCAGGGCTGAGGGCTTTAGGCGTTTAGGGGTTTAAGGGTTTAGGGCGTTAGGGTTTAGGGTTGAGGGTTTAGGGGCTTAGGGGTCAGGTGGTCCAGGGTTTAGGGGCGTCCTGTGGCCCCACGGACCTACCTGTTCAAGGAACGATATCACATAGGAAAGGGTAGGTCTTGAAACTCTGGGTTTGTGAGCTTTAGGATTTAGAAAGGAAGAAGCAAAAGCCCTGATACGGTTTTAGGGTTTAGGGTTCCTTTAACGGGGTATATAGGTTTTACCATAAATCAGGGTTTAGGGTTCCTTTGAAGGGGTATATAAGGGTTTACTATGAATACGGGTTTGGGGCATTCGGGCTGCTACCGCAGGAGCCGCACCCGACTTGCCCTACCGCGTGTTTGACATCAGCAGGTAAAACATGGCATTGTTGGGGCTTGTTCTTTCTTTGGGTGGTTTAGGGTTTAGGGGCTGCAGCATGAGACTTCGTCGAATGGGCTGTTGGCTCCAGGATCTACCAGCCCTGATTCGCATACCTCTTCAGTCCTACGTTTAGCTTCTGGGTTCACAGAGTCCGTTTACATAAACCCTAAACCCAAGAACCTCCAATCCCTAAACCCTGAACCCACAACCCAAAACCCCAAACCAAAAATCTAAACCCTAAACCCAAAAACCGAAACTCCAAACCATCAGGGCTCAGGAAAAAAACCGTCCTAAACCCAAAACCCCTAGTCCCCTAAACCCAAAACCCCTAAATCCTAGAACCTAAGCCCAAGAACCTAACCCCCAAACCCTGGAGGGTTCAGGAGTAAGACTCTCCAGGGCTTCTTGGATGAACTCTCTTCCGTGGGCGGGGCTCTCTAAGCCTATGAGTCTTTCAGGATTTAGGAATTTCGGGCTAATGAATAGGGCTTAGAATAAGACGAATCCGGGGTCAGGCTTTAGACATGTAGGCTTTCGGATTCAAGCTTTTGGGATTAGGGTTTAGGGTTTCGGGTTTAGGGATTATAGGGTTTAGGGTCTAGGATTGAGGCTTTAAGGGTTTAGGGCTTATAGGGTCTAGGATTTAGGTTCTAGGGGGTTTAGGGTTTGATCTTTCAGATTTCAGTCAAGTTCAACTTTTGAGGCTTGCGGCCAATTTAGAGCCGGTTTGGGCCTCTTTTGCTCAAATGCATCGCCACAGGATGGCTGCAACAATCCACCATGAAAGCATTGAGGTCACGCTCAGGAGAAGGCCCTGGTCGTTTTGACGGAAGACATAGAGCTGGACCGCGTAGCAGGCGACGAAGAGTGTGAAGGTTCCCATCACGATGGCCATCGATAGCAAGAAGTCCAAACAGGGATTGCAACATCGTGCTCGCAACCGGTAGCACAAACGGATGCCCAGTTTGTGCACCACAGGGAAAATTGCCAGCAAGTACGTGAACATCTGGGCCAGTTCGGCTACCTGTCGGATGGCATCTCCTGCATGGCTAGAAACATACTCGAGACGAAGCCAGGCATGCGGAGTCAACATTAGCAAGGCTCGCTGATAAGAGAAGACTTTGTATCCAAGCTGATCGATGACGGCCATCCGGACTTCAGTTTGCACTTGCGATTCGAAGCTGCCCAGCGAGTTGTACCACGCAGCGATGCACTGAAGAATGATCTCACGGTCGCATGTTATACCCGAGTTGTCTTCGCGGCCGCGGTCGCAGCAAGCGCTTCTGGCATGCTCGACCTTGAACTCACGGAGTTGCAGTTGCAGCGTCTCAATGCTGCGAGCATAACCTCGCCAGGTGTGCGCCACGAAGCCGAAAAGCAGGCAAAGAGCACCAACGAGCATTATGTATCGTTCTCCCGCGACTATTGCCTCGTCTGAAGAAGCCACGGAGGGTTCTATGTAGAATTTTAGCATGCATAGCACGCACAACAGCATCTCGCAGCCCAGAAGTGCTGGCCCTAGCAAGGGAGGAATAATCTTTACGTCTGCCTTGCGGTCTGCCTTGCTGCGGCTGTGTAGGAATGCAGCGACTTCGAAGATGCACCACCTTAGTATAGAAACCTCAATAGATACCACGATTATTCCTTGGGGTTATTGTAAACATACTATAAAGGAGCCCAGAACCCTATTCTAATTACTAAGGGCCCTTCATTGGGGTACGAGGGCTCATTTGTCCGGTATACGAAAAGAGCCTCTTGGTTGGCGCATCACGGCTAATGTGCGGGCGTTAATGATTAGAATAGGATTTTTTCTTGGGATATCCTACTAGAATTAGAATAAGAAGCTCCCAAACCTACTATCGGTACTTATACTGATTCCTATTTTAAAGCAAGACCGAAATGAATCCAAGTCGCAGTCTTGTGACCCATGTAGAGTCCCACAGAACCAGCATGGAAGTCGACCGATTCAAAAATGCACCCATACTCATGATGGCCTCTGACTTTCTGACTTCGTCAGTTTGGTGAATGCACGCGATGTCTAGAAACACCAGCTTTGACGGATGCCAAAGTAGCAAGGTGATGCAAAAAGCCACAAATCCGAAGAGCAGGCACCATCCCTGCCGTGCACCCAGAAATCCTGCTGAGACGAGGCCACAGGCTACGCTTCCACTTAATGTTCCTGCAACGCTTGCCGGCATGCAATTATGCAGGTAAAGCATGTTGGCATACTTGGTCCACTGCGACCCGTGCCAGCTGTGGGACCAAAACTGATCCAGATGTGTTGCCGGTTCACTCAATGCGTGCAGATCCTTGAGATTGCCACGGAGCCACGCCGACGGCAAGTAACGCAACAGCTTCCAAACACGGACTCCACGTACTATTTCTGGCCGCGTCGCCAGCATCTGCTTGAAGAATTGCATCAGCGCAACAACTCGGTCGTCCTCTTCATCTTCCTC